TCCTGATCTCAAGGAATGCATTGCATATTTTATATTTAAATTGTTGTTTTGCTGTAGGGTTTTGTAGGTTCCTAGTTTCCCAAGATTAGCAAATTAATCTTTATTTGTATTTTTTATGTTCTTTTTTAGTAGTGTTAAATTTCATCAAGGTATTTTTTTTCATTTTTATGCTCCTTTAGATTTTAATATGACAACTTACATTTTTGAATTTTCTAATATTGAACCAATTTTTTCTGAGAAAACTAATTTAAATGTTATAAAGTAGAATTTCATATTAGTTTATTAGTTTGATGCATCCATATTTATTTAGAATTTTAAATTCTAAATTCTTAAGTGATTATTCTGTAATTTTCTTTTATTGTACTCTCCTTGTTAGTTTTTGGCATCAAAGTTATACTAGCCTCTCAAAACAAAATGGTAAGAGTGTCTTCTTATTCAATTCAGGGAGAAATAGCATAGTTTTTCATTGCAGAGAAAAGTTTTCAGTTATGAATTCACTTTACGTAATAGTGTCAAGAAAATTATGATCTCAATTTCTTGAGTCAGTTTTATTGTTCTTAAAGTTTCTCTACTATCACTAAGTTTTCAAAGTTGTTGCACAATTATTTTCATATTAGTTTCTTTCTAAAGTTGGTGGGACCTATAGTTATAACTTTTCAATGCTGATATTAGTTATTTTTTCTTTCTTCTTTTTCCTCATTTAGATGTGTATGAGTTTAATCACTTTTATTGCTTTTTAAAGAAAAGCAGACTTTGGATTTGTTAATCCTCTCTATTTTATGTTTGCTATTTATTAATTTCCTCTGTTTTCTTGTTTCATTTTTTTCCCTATTTCAGATGGTTTCTTATTGAAAATATGTGTGACTATCTGTCTGATGGTGTTTTTTTCCTAGTGTACATTAAAGAAAATTTTTAAATTAGATTTATTGGGATGGTATTGGTTAATAAAATTATATGGGCTTTCCATGCTATCATTTATCATTGATTGAGAGCTATTCCTGAAGGTGTTAACTGCCTAGCACTTTTAAGATAGCCTAGGCATGGACTGAGAACAAAAACCCGTGTTTTATCCTGGTGTTAGAAGTGCCCTCAGTCCATGCCTAGGCCATCTTAAAAATGTCAGACAGTTAACACCTCCAGGAAAAGCTCTCAACCAACAATGTATGGTAGTAGGTACATAACTATCCTAACCTCCTCCTTCCTTGGACAAATCTGAATTAGGTTCTACACAGTTATCCAGTGGGACTAAGTCTCAGGTTTATGCAAAAATAAACTGTTCATTGTCCTGTTGTCTCACTGACTTAGCTACTGGTGTTACCTAGCATCATCTTTCACATTAACTACTTGCATCCACATCCTTGTCTCAGGTCTGCTACTGAGGAAGCCAAACTTGGAAGAGTGGAAAACATCTTTGGAACATATATTAGAGATGCATAATAACTATTAAATAGAAAGAGCTCTTATTAACTGTAAAGTAGAAATCCAATTAATATTAATAAACAATCTAAAAAACAAAAAATTAGGTTATTTTTATATATAGTTATATTTTTTTATATACTTATATCACCAAAATAGAACGTCCCAGAAAAATTGAGCATGAATCACACACAGTAATTACAATTTGAGACCATTTATATAAGGGACTATGTGTACTTCAATATGTATGAGCATATAAATGCATTTTTATTTCTTAATCATTAAAAACAAACAAACAAACAAACAAACAGGTGACAATGGCTACCTTAGGTGGAAAAAACTGATGGGTTAGGGTAAGAACCAAGTGGGAGCCTTTTTTAAACCTCTTTTTGGAATCATATCAGGTAAATGTATTATCTAATAAAAGACCATTACATTTAATTTATCATAAATGGCTTTAATACAGAAATTAATGATTAAAAATTTTGGCGTGGCCTCCAAATTTTGTGATTACCTAGGTATCTCTCTCTTTCTTTCTTTGTATGTTGACTTGTAGACACATATATTTATGTATTTGTATTTTGTGTTCTTACATATTTAAATACTTGTATGTACCATATATATTATTTTATTAGATTACATATATATTATTTTATAAATACCAGTATACTACTTAAATTAAAGACTACGTTGGACCTGTGAAAAATAAACTGATATATGGATATCCATCCCTACTCTTTTATTCCATAATTTTGGAAGACTTACTATTGCTTTCTTTGAATCACTACTTTTGCTTTAATAATTATTTTATCCATTTCTAGCAATGTTAATATTTTAGACTCCTAGCTTGTTTTATAAAGTTAGAAAATTTCAATCTATTTTCAGGCTTTGGTTATAGTTGTCTTTCTTGCTTATAACTTGCTTCGACTTCTAAAAAGTTTTTATTGCACTAAGTTGTGTAGCGAGTTATAGGGAGTTACAAATACTACCTGGAATTGATGGTATGAGAAATGGTTCCTAATTAGCAATGTGGGCTTGGGATACTTTTAATAACTTCGAGTGTTAAAATGTGAAAACCACAATCACATTTTCTGACAAAGTAGACATTAGAATCTCGTGCTAATTCTGTTACTAATTCAAGAAACAAGTGAGATAAAATGTACAGAGTTACTTTGTAAATTACAATTATAATTTGCATGCATAAAAGGCTACCATTATGTAAGGTATTGCTTTTCTTTAATCCAGTTCACAAATATTCTTTGAACATGTAGCTTGACATCAAGTTAGACAATAGCTAAATGAAATATGGGAGTGGGGCTTTGAGAGTGTGGTAGGGAGATACACAAGGCTAACAATCAAATCAAAGAACATCCTTAAGATAATTACTGTGACTGAAGTGTGTCCTCAGGCTGCTGTGGTTTTGTAGTTTCACTTTACGTGGAGAGGATAGTATTTGAATCCTGACTCCTCCGCCAATGTGTGGCCTGGGAATTAGATTTTTTATGTCTTGTTTTCTTCTTTGTAAAACATATACATTATTAGGAAATATTAAATAAGTTTACATGCACTCAATGAGTTCTTGTTTAGTTCATAATTAATAATTAATAATTCAAAAATGTTAATACTACCTCCAACCCTGTCCCTGTCCTCCCAACCCCCAACATACTCACAACCACAGATACTAAAAAAAAACAAAGTCTGGTAAATGGGGGAGCAAAATGTTTCAAAGGTGAAGGCCAAAGTGGATATCGAGAGGCTACTTTTTCTACATTTACATTAATTCTGGCAGAAGTGTTGATGCCTTGGGATAAAGCAGAGATGGTTGTGGTGGTGGATATTCAATTAAATGAGACTGTTAAGGTGAATGCTGACATTTTAAGAATAAATTTTAAATTTAATGATTTCTGATTTACAAAGTAAGTTGCAAAGATATTTCAGAGAGGTTCCATACACATCTCATTCAATTATCCACATTTTAAATGTCCTACACACTTGCCATCGTAATTTGCTAAGAGTTTCTGAACAGCAAGGGAAATAATAAATAGAATAAAAAGGAAAACTACAGAATGGAAAAAAATATTTGCAAACTATATATCTGAAAAAGGGTTAATCTCCAAAGCATATATAAGGAACTCATAGAACTCAATAGCAAAAAATAAAAACTAATAACCCAATTAAAAGTTGACTAAGGATTGATTTAGCATTTCTTTCAGGAAGATATAAAAATGACTCATAAGTATATAAAAAAAAATGCTCAGTGTCACTCATCATCAGGGAAATGCAAATCAAAACCACAATGAGATATTACCTCATGCCGCTCAGGATGGCGGTTATCAAAAAATGAAAACAAAAACAAAACAAAACAAAAAACAAAAGACAAGTGTTGGGGAGGATATGGAGAAGATGGAACCCTTGTATGCTATTGGTAGAAATGCAAAATTGTGCAGCTGCTGTGGAAAACAGTATGATGGCTCTTTGCAGAATTAAAAATTGAACTACTATATGTCTCAGTAATTCTGCTTCTGGATATTTATCCAAAAGAATTTAAATAAAGATCTCAAAGAGATATTAGCATTCCTATGTTCATTGCAGAACTATCCGCAATAGTCAAGATGGGCAGATAAATAAGTAAAGAAAATGTGGTATCTACATACAATGGAATACAATTTAGCCTGAAATAAGAAAGAAGTTCTGCAATATGTGACCACATGGGTGAACTTTGATGACTTTATGCTAAGTGAAAGAAGCCAGCCACAGCAACACAAATACTGCATGATTCCACTTATGTCTGATATTTAAAATAATCTAATTCATAGAATCAAAGTGTGGAATGATAGTTTCCAGGGCTTGGGGAGAGAAAAATGGGGAGTTTCGAATCAATGGGCATAGAGTTTCAGTGATGCAAGTTGAATAAATGCTAGAGATCTGCTGTATAGTTGTATCTGTAATCAACAACATTGTCTTGTACTCTTAAAAATCTCATAGGAGTGTAGACCTCATGTTAAGCGTTCTTACTACAATACAAATACGACAAAAAATCATTAGTAAATTATGATCACTGAAATCCAAACTTTATTTAGATTTTATCAGTTTTTTTTTTCCATTAATTCCCTTTTTCTTTTCTGGGACCCAATCCAGAGTACCATATTGCATTTATTTGTCAAACTTCCCTGGTTTTCTCTAGTCTGTGATAATTTTTCACTATTTTCTTGACTTTGGCAATCCTAAGGAGTACTGCTGAGGAATCTTATAAAATACTTCCAAATATGGTTTTGTGTGATGATTTTCTCAATTAAGATGGGATTATAGATTTTGGGGGAAAGAATATCACAGAGTCAAAGCTTTTTTCATCACATCCTATCAAGGAGTAAATAACATCTACACTATATCACTGAAGATGGTCACCTTCATCATTTGCTTAAGTATTGGCCAAGTTACTCCACTCTAAACTTGAACGTGGAATTTGAAATGCAGTAGGGTTAATAACAGCTGTTTCTGGATTGTTCTATCTAGTTTCTTATTCGAAACTCTATAGTTCTTGTTTTCTTCAATGAATATGTGTTATTTCAATAATTCAGTATCTAAGAGCAATTTATGGAATAGATGCAGGTGATATAATTATCCCTAATGATTTAGAAGAAAATGCATCTGTTACAATGACACAAGGGACAGAGTTTCAAATAATTGAAGGCTTGCAGTTTACTGAGTAATACTCCAATTAAAATTCTCTATAGTCTACATCCTCATAGTCATGGAGGCAAATATAAGGCCTTGAGTTTGATAGAGCATAGACTGTGGATTCAGCTTTCAGTTTTTTTCTTCATGTTCTCTGAGATTTCTTACATCCTAGAAATAAAATGCCATTTTACGGACATACTCATAAAAATATATTATCACTTCCATGCAAAAGGTTAAGCCTATTGTTACCTTAAAGAATGTTTGATGACTGAGAAGAAAAATTTCTGAGTTTCATTAATCATAAAAAGAAATTCTCAGTAAATTATTCAAGAGCATCTGGTTTCAGGTCAGTTCATTTCTCTTTTGATATTTTTCAACTAAGGTAGAAAACATGGAGCTTCAGCTCATATAGACTATTCCAAAGATTATAGATGACCCTTTTTTTATGGTGAGAGACATTTTTATTTTCACTAACAGGACACGAAGTATTTTTGAGAATTCAGTATTTTTAAATACAGAAACTGGAAGCAGTGACCAATGGGGAACGTTGCAGAAAATTTGTGAGATATTTGTTGATTTTTGAAGTCTCATGGCCCTATTTTCAATTTGAGTATAAACCACATCCAAACTCAATTTTCACCGAAATCATTTTCAATTTTAAACCTTTTTCTAAGTATTTTTTTATTGATCTAATAAGTGTGCCAATAATCCAGAGAGTAGTAGCAATTTCCATAATATGCCAGAGTTTTGCTAATCTGTTCAAATATAGAAGGGGACTCATTTACTAAAATAGCATAAACATTAACACACTTTTTCAATGTATTTGCCAAACCTCTCTTTCTATTGGAAAGAATGTGATGATAACAAATGCTTTACAACTGGAGTTGCTTATAGTGTATGTAAAGGTAGGCACTCATGAAGCTGAGTCCGGAGCCTGCTACATGTTTGCCCCATCTTAAGAGAGATCTTCTTATTGGTTAAGAAAATCTGTAATTTTCATTGTATAATAGAACATATTTTGTATGAAACTATAGTTAGTAAATATAAGACATTTGTTTCTCAAAAAATTATATATATAT